TCCTCATACGCAATATTGAACCTTAGGAAAATGTTGGATTGTTTCATAAGCTCTTAAGAGAGCTGTAATACCTAAGTTCTTTTAAGTTGTTCACGTTTGTTAAATATTAAAGTTCTGATGATGCTGATGACATTAATTTTAAACATAAAAGTAGAGAGAACAGTAGTATGTATGAACCCCCATGTACCCATCACTCGGATTTAGTAATTATCAACTCAGGGCCAATACCATTTCTCCTGTATCTTTCCTAACTCTGCCCACACTGGCTTATTTTGAAGCAAATCCTAGACATCATGTATTGGTAAATATTTCAAATTATATCTCTAAAGAGAAGGATTTTTTATAAACATGACCCCTAAAGTATTGTTTTTGTGATATTTTGCATATTAATGGATTAACAGAGATACCATGCTGTTTTTAAGAAAACTAGATAGTAAAGGTTGCTGAGTCCCTTCAGCGTCTGTGGTGTAATTAATCTCCAGGAGAACTGGAAACAGACTGGTCAGAACACATGGAGAGAGTGCTAAACACATCGCTTCTACCTTCGGCACAGAAGCACGTCTTTTTACCCCAGTCCCTCGTGCACGTGGACCCAGCTCAGGGTAGCCACCCTCTTTTATTTTATAAACTGATTATCAGTAAATTTAGGAAACAATACTGTCTGAATCCGAAGTCCTTGACCTGTTAATGTCAGTCCTGTGGCACAGGCTTAGGCCTTGGCTCCCTTTCTGGAAAATTCCAGAACTATATAAAAATCATTTCTAAAATCCTGATAGACACGTTTTGCCAAGAGTGTCAGTTATCTCTTGACAGTTTGGCATTAGCCTGAATGGTAATCATAACACCATTCAGAGAAAATAAGGTGGTAGGTGGCTGGCATTTTAAAAGTAAAATGAACTTGAGTTCCTAGGAATATTACTCATTAACTTACTGAAAATGTTGATACTACTCCTTAATAGCAAACTGCTAAGTAAGTAAAAAGCAGTATTTCTCAAGTAACTTAGAGGTCAGTAAAATGTGATTTTATAGGTTTAATATATTTTAAATATTTAAAGAGATTTTTAAGCTTTGAAACTGAGGAAGTAATGAAGGAACCTTGTGAACCACCAGTCTACTAGCCTGACCAGCACATCTCAGAAATAGATCAGTATTTTTGTCATTGTAACCGGCCTTCTCATTGCCTTCCTTGCCCTTGACTTTGCAGCAGAGAGGAGAAAGAAACTCGTGGCCTCTACCATAAATACACATGATAACAGCAGTCAAGTAATTTTATATATTTTGTGGGCAAGTCATTCATTCGTGATGATGGAATGGCTTATTTTTATGCAATGTTTTTCATTCAACTAAAATTCTTTTTTCCATTTGATGTAGTATCTGTACTCCATTCCAAGGCAAGATAAATTTAGCACAACTTCTCATTTTATCAACTTGGTCGAAGTTTTAAAGGTTTTATTCCGTTTACTTTTAGCTGTTTATATGAAATAGACTATAAGAACTCCTTAATTTAAAGTATGCTGTGTAATTAAAGACAGTGCCTGTATCTGGCATGCAGGTTGTACCAAGAACTATGGGAAAGAGGAGGTGCGGAGCATTGTTCTAATCGTGGGAAAGAGGAAGTTTGGAGTGACTGGAAAGGAGAATCTTCTTTGGAAAATAGATGAAAGCTTGGACTATCTATCCCAAACAGACCACAACATGAAAGAAACCTGGATTTATTGTATTCATGTAAAAGCTAGAAAAGATATCTTCAGTTTTCTAGAAGAGACATCCATATGGATAACTCATAATTTTAAATGATGGATGAAGAGTAATTGCCATAGATCAGTATCATTCATAGCAAATTAGTTCTGATTGATGGATCCTGCTTCCACAGATTGCTGTATTGTAAAATTAGTTTAAAAGTTCTTAAACTCATTTAATCCTCTACCTACTCCATTTTTTCTTTATCCTTGTGAGTTTATTTGGTTTTGTTTAATGGCTGGGATATTTTTATCTGCACTACTGTATTTGGTTGACTGCATCTGGGTACCCCAAGCTGAACAGAAACGTACATTGGTGGAGCTCTGAGTGGGTGGAGGTAGACACGAGCAGCAGCAGCCTATTGTATAAATGGTTTATAATTCATTTATTCAGTTTCCTATTGATAAATTTTTAGATTATTTCCATTTTAAATTTCAAATATTTCAGTATTTACACATGTATCAGACGTCTTACTTTTAGAACTTTTTATTAAACAGTAAAATATATACAAAAAGTGAACAAATAATTTTTGTAGCTCAGTGATAAATGGGATAGTAAAGGTGTAATTAGCACCCTCAAAGGCCCCCTCAAGCCCCCTTCCAATTATCACAATCCCCGCTAGGATAACTGCTATCCTGACTTCTAATACCATTGATTCATTTGGCCTACTTACATGTGTGTGAATAGAATCATACCATACGTGCTCATTGGTATCCGGATGCTTGACTCACTATTATATCTGTGAGACTCATACATTTATGTGTAGCAGTTCATTTTTTATTGGTGTGTGATACTCTGTTGGGTGGCTTTACCATAATTTATCGTTTTTATTATTGATGAACCTTTGGGTTAAAAACCTAAGTTTTGGATATTACAAACAGTGCTATGAACATTCTTAGACTTGTGATTTGTGGAATGCAGCTATACATATCTATTGGGAGTGGTGCTGATGGGCATAGGCTATGCATATGTGCAGCTCCACAGTGCCAAGTTTTCAAGTGATTGAAATCATTTCACACTCCCACCAGCAATGTCTGGTTATTTTTAAAACATAACTTCATAGGAGTGAAATTTGAATAAAAGAGTAAATTCATTTTAAGTTTTGGAATATAGTGCCAAATTTGTCCTCAGGAATGCTAATTTATACTCCACTGAATACTAGGTTTTATCCAGCTTTCATCTTTATCAATTTTTAGTGAAAAATGTCTCATTTCTAAATTAATGGGTTGAACTTTTCATAGCTTAATTTTGCTCATTTGAATTTTCTTAATTTGGCTGTTCTGGCCTTTGTTGGGGTGTTTCTAATTTTGCTTATTGCTTTGTAATAACTCCTTATTTTCTAAAAAATCCACATTTTTAGGTCATATGCTATAATTCTTTTCTTCTTAGTTTGTCCTTTGTCTTAACTGTCTTTTACAATACAGAAGTTTTAAATGTCTGTGTGCGTGCCTGCATCTGCTATTCTTTATGTGTTTTTTTTTTAAGTGTTTCCTTTAAGGACTTTATTGCTTATATTTCCTTTTGCTTATTGTAACTAGATATGCTTCTTTTTCTTTCATTAACACAAGGGTACTTTTTTTGTTTGTTTTAAAACAATTTAAACATGTCGTACTTCTATTAGCATTAGCTTTGGAATATTTTGCAGGGTGGCAGAGGGTGACTGGTCAGGAAGAATTTAGTATACCAAAGCATATGTTTATGTGTCATTTCACCATGAGAAATGAAGCTAGTTTTCCAACGTGGATACTATTTGAATCTTTTCAGGGTGCATGTTGTTCAAGTAGTTAGATCAAATTAGCATAGACTAAATTATTTTACTTAATATCTGTAGTGGATATTGTTCAAGACTCTTAAATAAGAACTTTGCCAAAAATACATTCCCAGCCTCACTGTCTGTTCTGTGGCTTACAGCACAGAGGATTAGAGAGCCAAATACTTAAATTTCAAATTTTTTACAATACCATTTTTCTCTAAGAGATCACTTTTAAAATTCTTTGGCTTCTTTCTCTTTCGTATAAAAGTACATGTAGTTTGCACTGCTTATTGAGAAAAAGGAGACCAGTCTGTCGTATCTGGTTTTTTTGTTGTTGTTGTTGTTTTATTTTTTAATGTTACATGGGATTTGAGAGCTCTCCAGAACCCCCCTCACCAAAAATTTCTATTAGAGTTATTATTGGGTTAGACCACAAAGTAGAGAGAGACATGAAACAGATATTAAAACAGTAGCCCTCTCTTCTACTAAGATGAATTGGTTAGGTTTGTGTAACTGAATTTTAGTACCTTAAAAGGGTGAGAGTCTTAGTGACAGATAAGTTTTTGAGGAAAGAACACAGAAGTGTTACTCCTTTATGATTATAATCCCAGAGCCCCACAGTCTAAGGAGGATGGGGGTTCAGGAGGGAGGGAAAGAATAGGTGAAAATAAATGCTTCAGACAAGATTTAAAACACACACACACACACACACACACACACACACACACACACATACTCTCTCTCTCTCTCTCTCTCTCTCTCTCTCACTATCTC